TTCACAGTTACAACTGTAAGTTGAGAACCAGCAGAGATTTAGAAAACCTGAAAGTGCTATGATATGGTACCCCCAAAGAGGGGAAAATGCATTGTTGAGAAAGAAAAAATTACGCAGTAGAATTGGTGACAGCATCTCCAGTTCCATCCAGAGGGACGTTTTCTCACTAGGCAGCATAAATATCTGGACTCCTGTTGGTTCATCTCGCTTTTTAACACTTGCTTTGAAATTGTTACAGCCCGCAGTAGTTCTCTGATCTAAAACCACAGCACTTAGTATGGTAGTTATAGGTTACAAATGTTGAGCGTGGGCCCAGCACGATGGCCCAGTGCCTAAATTCTCACCTTAAAAGCGCTGGCATCCCAAATGCACGCTGGTTCATGTCCTGACTGCTCTGCCTCCCATCCTGCTCCCTGCTTGTGGCCAAGGAAAGCAGTAGAGGTTGGCCCAAAGTCTTGGGACCCTATACGTGCATTGGAGACCCAGAAGAAGCTCCTGGCTTTAGATCAGCTCAACTCTAGTCATCACAGACATTTGGCGAGTGAACCAGCAGATAGAAGCTTTCTCTCTGTTGTCTCTCTATAAATCTGTTCTGCCTTTCTAATAAAATAAGCAAATCCTTTTTTTAAATTATTATTATTAGAAAGTCAGATATACAGAGGAGAACAGACAGAGAGGAAGATCTTCCGTCTGATAATTCATTCCCCAAGTGAGCGCAACGGCCAGTACTGCGCTGATCCAAAGCTGGGAACCAGGAATCTCTTCGGGGTGTCTCATGCCGGTGGAGGGTCCCAAAGCTTTGGGCTGTCCTCAACTGCTTTCCCAGGCCACAAGCAGGGAGCTGGAAGGGAAGTGGAGCTGCTGGGATTAAAACCGACGCCCATAAGGGATCCTGGCGCATTCAAGGCAAGGACTTTAGCTGCTAGACCACTCCGCCAGACCCAAAAATAAGCAAATCTTAAAACAAATGTTGAGCAGGCCTGGCACAGTGGCCTAGTGGCTAAAGTCCTTGCCTTGTACATGCTAGGATCCCATATGGGTGTCGGTTCTAATCCCTGCACCCTCCACTTCACATCCAGCTCCATGCTTGAGGCCTGGAAAAGCAGTCAAGGATGGCCCAAAGCCTTGGGACCCTGCACCCACATGGGAGACCTGGAAGAGGCTTTGGGCTCCTGGCTTTGAATTGGCTTAGCTCTGGCTGTTGTGGACACTTTAAAGATTTATTTTATTTTTATTGCAAAGTCAGATATACAGAGAGGAGGAGAGACAGAGAAGATCTTCTGTCCGATGATTCACTCCCCAAATGGCTGCAACAGCCAGAGCTGAGTCTATGTGAAACCAGGAGCCAGGAGCCTCTTCTGGGTCTCCCACCCTGGTGCAGGGTCCCAAGGCTTTGAGCCATCCTCCACTGCTTTCCCAGGCCACAAGCAGGGAGCTGGATGAGAAGTGGAGCAGCCGGGATTAGAACCGGCGCCCACATGGGATCCCAGGGCATCAAGTAAGGACTTAAGCCGCTAGGCCCAAAAAATAAATCTTTGAAAATAAAAAATGTTGAGCACTAGAAATTTGACTAGTCCAATCTGAGATGTGCTTAAAATCATGAAATACACAAGAAACCATTAAGAGTCAGAATGGGAAAGAGAATTTTAAAAACTCTTTTAATAATGGCTTAATACTAATGACATCTTGAAATGGGAAGTCTTTTATACAATGGACTAAATGCAATCATGTTAACTTAAATTTGGGAATGGGTCTTTAGTGATTAAGAACAGTTCAGATAGGGCCCAGCACGATAGCATAGCAGTTAAAGTTCTCTCCATGAACTTGTAGAGATCCCATATGGGCCCCAGTTCTAATACCGGCAGCTCTGCTTCCCATCCAGCTCCGTGCTTGTGGCCTGGGAAAGCAGTGGAGGACGGCCCAAAGCCATTTTATGACGTTGTAATAAAAATAAATAAATCTTGAAAAAAATAGCTCAACCTGTGTCCCACGGCCAAATGTCTGGGTTCAAATCCCAACCCTTTGGACTCCAGCTTCCTGCCAGTACAGACCCTGCAAGGCAGCAGGAATGGCTCCCGCCAAGGGGCACTTCCTGCCACTCACGTTGGACATCTGGGTTGTCCCTGTTTGCCTGGCTCAATCCCAGCCATTAATTACAAACATTTCGGAAGTGAACTGGCACTGGAGAGATTTCTTTTTCTGTTTATTTCTCTGCCCCTCAAAACAGCACAATATAAAATTAGCTTTCCTCGTTCTTTTTTGCTGTTTTTTAATGAAGTTATTAGAAAATGTGAAGCTACAAACTGGCTTACTGGACAGTTTTGCGGGACAGCACCAAAGCAGAACTTTGGAGCCCTGTTTACTTACCTCTGTTTTAAAGTAGCTCCCAGTGATCTTCAACTGCAATGTGGCCCAGCTTTCCTGAGCCCCCTCAGCGCCCCTGCATGGCAGGGATGAGGGGTTGCAGGAGGAGTGTTGCTATGTAAATTGAAGAAGTCTCAGCCGGATCACGTAATTGCCATTCTGTTTGATTACCGTTTAAAAAACCTTATACCTGAGAAAAACTTATTTCAACATGCTATACCCAAAATCTTTGTCCATTATCCCCCCCCTCAAAAAATCATAAAATACAGACAACAAAAAGAACAAAATAAAATCTCTCCTAAAATATACACCCAGAAATATATTGATGACATTTTGGCATATAACCTTCCTGAAATTTTCAATCACGAATATATAGAGAGGCACACAGAAATGTATATTTTAGCAAAATGGGATCACATTGCATATATTATTTCCTAACATGGGTTCTTTTCACCCAATAAAAGACAAAGAAATCTTTTTCTATTGTCAATATGTGTTCCAATTTTTTTTTATGGTTTTACTCAAAACAACCTGAAGAGGTAGGTGTTGTGGCATGGCCGTTTAAGATAAGATACTTGTATCCCATATGCTGTATGCCTGTAATCAACCCCTTCCCTTCTAATCCAGCATCTTGCCCACGCTTTTAATCCAGATATTAGCCCACGTGTTTGGATCCCTGCCCTCCACAAGGGAGACCCAGCCAGTTCCTGGCTCCTGGCCTCTGTTGGCCCTACCACATAGTCACAGACATTTAGGAATGAACTAGCAAAAAAAAAAAAAAAAAAACCACAAAAAACTAGCAAATGGAAATTCTCTGTCGTTCTGCCTTTCAAATAAATTTTTTTAAATGCCACCTTAGAAATGAATGTGACAAATCAATTTTAAATTGGAATACACATACACACAAGTCCATATATATACTGCACTAAACCCAGAGAAAATGCTTGAATATTTGCTCATGAATGAATGACTTATTGAACAAATACATGGCATTCCATTATATTATGTTTTCTATAAATCCTTTTTTTAATAATCTTTCCTGTGCAGCCTTAAAGTTTTCAAAGGTAGTCAATAAGTTAAAAAAAAAAAAAAAGATGTTTACAATGCATCCATTTGCTAGAAATTGTAACTGCAAGTTACTTTTATGGAAAGTGCCTTTGGAGAAACAGTATTGGTGTGGAACTGTCAGAGGGAGGCCAAATCCCCAACTGCTCAGATGTTGTAAAGAGGCTCCTTCCTGCCTTTGGATCGGCTCAGCTCTGGTTGTGCAGTCATTTGGAGAGTAAATCAGTGAATGGAAGACCTTCTCTATCTGTACATCTACCTTTCAAATAAAAATAAATAAAATAAAAAAAAAAAAAACTCAGCTGTGCACTAAACCAGGTAGGATACCACAGAGAAGCGTGCGTGAGCTCTGTGGTGAAGAACCTGGCAGAACACGCCTGGAGCCTTCCGCACCCCTGCTGGGTTTCTCCAGGACATTCTGCAAAACCCTCAGCTTTGTCAGCAGTGTCCATCGCACCACTCCGTGTCTTCTTGGAAAAGCCACCATACTGTGCACCCCTCTCAAGTTATTGTCAGGCTTTTAAAAATCCCAAGGGCAGCGTGGATCTCATGGCACTCTCAACGCTCCTTCAGCTGCCCAGCTCAGAGCTAAATGTACAGCTTAGCTTTAGCATCTGGGAACCCTACTCATAGAATGCCTTTTGGGGCATTAATTTTCCTTTTACTGTCATCTTACTCTGTAACATTCCAATTTTCCCTTTACTGTCTATCAGTTTTGTCTTTGGTACAAGCTAAGGCAAATGCTTTCTGAAAATAAGCAAACATCAATCAATCATTAAATTAGTCTCCCTGTAGTGCTGACATCTGATCCCCCTTCCCTAGGCCATGTTCACCAAACCACTCTGATTTGCACATGTCTTGTTCTGTAGATTTTTCTATAGGGAAGAATGGAAAGGCAATACCAGATCCCTCTAAATAATTCAATTTTTTTTACAACTTAACACATAAACCCAGATATATCAATCTATTGTACTAGATTGTTTCTTCATTTAAAGTTAGGATCACTGTACCTGTCAGACATGATTTTCCCACAGTCCCAGAGTCCACAGGCAGGGACTGAATATTCCTGGAGATCCCATCCAGTTCAGCAGTTTGCATGAAAACGGCTGAAACCAAGAGTCTTAGGAGGCCAGGAGAGGTAGGAAGGACTCCATTTTTGCCAGATCTATGTTAAGTCTGTAGTGGGCAACAGGAGAGCAGGAAGAACTGTATATTCCACACATTTTGGAGGCTGAACTACAACTGCGGACCCCTATCACACACAGACTTGTGGCAAGTTTGGTTTGTACACCACATGCACGTGGGCACATATACACACACCCCCTCCTGGAACCTGCCTGGGTTGGGATACACAAGGTTTTCGTTTGGACTTTTGTTCAGGCCAGGGGTGAGGGATGGGGTGAGGAGGAGAGGGGCTCAACTCCAATTTGTTTCTTTTTTTAGTTGTCTCAACCCTTTTCCAAATCCCAATTACTCTAGTTCTTGCCCTTTACAAGGTCATGAGAAGATGATTGGGTTTAAATAATGCTCTGATCCGAGGCCAAGAAGTTCACAAACCCTGTTCAGTTCTTTTTTCTCAGTAAACTTCTGGGCTTTATTCATGTCTGTATGTATGTATTTCTTTATTCATTTTTAATACGACCATTACATATTACACAAAAATAAAAGTCAAATGAACTTGGTATTTATAAATTATTAAATAAAAATACAGGAATATATATTTATATTTATAGAGCTTTTTTTCTCTTCTTCTAAACTAACCAAATCTGTTCTCCTGCCGTTTTATGATTTAAAAAAGTAAAATAGTGTATGTATGCCCTAGAGTAAGTGGGGAGTGAGATTAATGATTCGCAGGACCCAGTCGCCCTACTTCCTCTCCTCCCTTGGCCTAGGCAAAGTCCCCATTTGTCCCTTTGGGCTCTGGAGAGCAAGAAACACCCTCTCCCACTTCTTAATCTTTGAAAAATGATAATTGCTTTTATTTCCCTTCTTAAAAAAAAAAAAAAAAAGAAAGAAATGGATTTAAAAATTGGGAGCCATACTCAGCCTTCTTGGCCAAGAGTTCATCCCAAGGAACTATATGGCTCTAGAAGAGTCCCTAGTTTTCCCTGACAGAAGAGTCTTGGGGTTTTCATTGACTTCACATTGAGACGGGCAGGACAGGTCCAAACTGCCCACTGTCATCCCACCTAGCCTCTGTTTCTGGGAATCCAGACCCAGCCCTTTACCCTTCCAGAGAACAGCCTCTCCTTGGAGCAGGGCATGTTGGACAACCTGCCACTCCTGTTTGCTGACAGGATAGGTGTCTGTGGTAGAGGGTGGGGTCTGTCCCAAACCTAGGAGAACTCAGGCTCCAGATCTGGAACCCATCCTCTAGCTAGCCAGTGGTTTTCCAACTTTTTTTTCCCCAGCAGCAAACCCCTTAATGCAAATAAAATCTTACCCTGAACCCCGATATGTAAGACAGCTACAAGGGGAGCTGTTCTGTTAGAGGGCAAATTACACAGCCTGCTCAGCCCCGTGCCCCCTCCTTCTCCCCAAAAGGACTCCTGAGGCAACCCCTAGGACACTTCGGGGCTCTGCAGAGCAGTTTGAAAACCACTGGCCTAGTCCGTCCTGAGCAAGTCAGAGACCCCCCACCCCCACCCCAGCTGCTCACCACAGACCAGCTCTGAGCTTGAGAGCAGCGTACCCACCTCCAATCAAGTGGCATGTGCAGTCTATCACTTCCCCTGTAAAGACCATGAGAAAGTGCAGCCCTCTCACCAAAGCAAAGGTCTGGACTAAACCCCTGAGGTCAGCTGGCTTCCATGTTCTAGTAAACATGTGTTCAACTGTGTTGCCACATTCTAGGACCCAGTGAGACTCTCACCACAGTCTAGCTAAGCTGATCAGTGCTCAGGGTCATGACGGGCAGGGGACTGATACACTGGATCTAAAGTCAACATTGGAGAGCAGCAATCGTAGCACCACGGAAAGTGCAGAAGTGAGGTCTGGCTCAGGGCATGCATCTGGAGTGAATCATTTCTTCCCCAAAAACAAAAACAAAAACAAAAACCACCCACCCTAAAATCTGAATCTGTTTGGAGGACAACCTTGGCTTCTAAAGCGAGCATCCTCAAACTCTGAGCTTCCAAGTTACACCCATGCAAATAGCGTGGCTTCCAGAAAACAAATGCTCCCATGGATTCTAGGGGAGATGGGACCCACCTAGAATCTAGGGGATTCTAGAACCCATGCACCTGGTCCTGATCAAGCAGTAGCAACAGAACCCACCACACAGAACAGGCCAGTCATGGGGTCCCCCAACACCCTTGTGCCCAGGGTTTCAGAGCTGGCATGGTCCCCTCAAAGACATCAGCAGCCCCAGATGAGACCACAGCTTGGGAACCCAGACTGAGTATGTATGCCCATACCCTCAAAAAAGAAAACATCAGAGTTTCAATTTGGAGTTTCAATTTGGATGTGGAGGTCCCAGAGTTAGGGAACCACTGTAAGCACGCCCAGTGGGAGGGGACAGTAATGGATATTTCCAGCTATGGAAACCCTCCCGCTCCCAGGCTCCTTAGCCCTGCCCTGCCAGGGGGGCACCCAGGAGGCAGCAGCAAGTGCACTGTGCACAAATGAAGGGAGATGATGCGAGAACAAGGCCAGCCACAGAACTGCTCTTTCCTCCCAAGCTAGACAGAGGACTTTGTGCAGACCTGCCAGAGCCCACCCCGGGGGGATACAGTGTTTCTTCTCCCTTGGTCTTATGGCATCAGAACCAGGGGAGGAGGAGCTGAGAACTGTTCCCTGGCCCCTGTTCTTGCCAGAGGGAATGTTTTCTCCTTGAAGAATCCCACCAGCAGCAGATGACGAAAGCAGCCCCTTACGTGCACATGCACACACATATCCAAGCAACCCAGGAGCCCAGCCATCCCTCCAAAATACCTGAAACTCCCCCAAGGTTCCATCCCAAAGGGGCAATATGTGCCTTCTATGTTCCCCAAATGCCACTCATCCAATAGAGTCACAGCTCCGTACACAAGACCACTTTGCTCAGAGCTGCAAGCCAAGCTCCAGGTAGCTGTATGTATACATCCCTAATCCCTCTACTTCTCACACCTTGGAATGACTCTACCTGCTGGCCCCTGATCATACTCAGACCTTCCCCCAAAGCTTCCATCTCCCTCTTCAGTCTGCCTGCTCGGCCTACTCGCTCCCTCACACATCACCCTGCTCCAGCCTACGCCTATCCAGCATTCACCCCCCACTTCCTCCTAGGGCATTTCTCCATCCTGTTCCTGCTCTCTTGGCCCACAGCCACACCTGGCTCTGCCTGGCCCTGGACACTCTCATTTGCTAGCAAAAAAGGCCCCTACAGTTACCAGGGCCCCCAGTGCCACGGCCCCCGTCAGCACTGTCCTCACTGATGCCCAGGTGCCCTCCCGCAGACGCCGTGCCTCCTCCAGGGCCCGATCCCCGTATAGAGCTGTGAACTCCGCCTGTGGAAGAGAAGAGAAGTAGGAGAGAAAGAAGGAGAAAAGGGATATCAGGAGAGGAAAGAGTGGAGAGAAGAGGAGAGGAAGAGTTCCAGTTCCAGCCACTTCCAGCACTATCCCACACCCAGCTTCTCTCCTCCAGCCAAAGCTCTACCACCTGCAAAGCCTTTTGCTCCACTCAAGGGCGCCCCCTAGCCCTGCCCCAGCCCCAAGCACCACCTCATTCACCCTCTCTGTCTCCAGCCAACCCTGATCTTTCCTGGGTGGCAAATTCTGCCCACATGTGGCATCTCAGTCCAAAGCTTGCCTGACCATCTGTCCCTGACCCTCCCCCCACCTCCCACAGACACAAGTGGGAAAGTTTCCAGACACCACCTCCCCACAGGTACTCCTTGGGTACTGTGTGTTCCGTTCTCTGCTTGGGACACTGAGCCTTCATTCCCACACTCTCCCCTCCACTGCCCAGTGATTTCTGCACAGCAGTCCCAGAAGGGAGAACCTGGCATGATGCCCACAGCGAGGGCATCTCTTGGTCTGCTCCCACCCCCATGTGGAGACTCAACCCCCATGCCTCCTTCCCGGCACCCCCCCACCAACAGCTTTGCTGAGGAGGAATGCACACAACCCGCATTTAAGAAGTTCCTTACCCAGCCCCCGCTGCTGTGGATCCAGTCGGCCAGCTGCGTTTCCAGGTAGGCCACCATCCATTCCTGCACTTGTCCCACCAGGGGCTCCATCTCCTTGTTGACACTTTCGGCGCACAGCGCGGCCCCAAAGGCAAAGAAGGCCACCACACGGCCCCAGTTGGGACCCCTTTGGAAGAGTTCATCACAGACTTGGGTGAAGCTCTGCTGAGCTGAGCCCGGGGTCACATGCAACTGGGCGGCCAGATCGGAGAAGTTCTGCCGGAAGCGGGTCTCAAATTCATCTCCAGCTGCCCTCATGGCTTGATGCAGCGGGTTAGCTGCTGGGCCCTCTCCGGGGCCAGCCCCACAGACATAACCCTTCTGCCTCAGCTTGTAGCCTACAAAGTCAGCCACGAGAGCCCGTGTGTCTGGGGCTGAGGCTGGGGTCGCCATCCGGGCAGCTGGAAGAGGCAAGAATGAAAGATTGGCATGAATAGCAACAACATGCAGACAAGGACCCATAAGGGGCATCTTGGGCTTGGATAACTCAGGGAGACCAGGATGGGGACTGGGGAAGGAGGAAAATGCTCAGAATCACTGGATGGAGAGGAACGAGAGTGAGGGAATGAAGTCACCAGGAGCAGGGGCCAGAACCCCAGGGGCAGCTGGCCTGTGAATTCCTAAAGGCCACACCGAATGTAAAAACAAGCACATTTTACTTTAAGAAATGCTTTTAATTCCTTTCAAAAGACAACACCAGCTCTAGGACACACATGCAGTGCCCCACCCCCAGGCAGCGGTACAAACCTTTCTGGCTTGAGAAGGGGCTTAGGACCTCCCCCAGCAGCAAGAGGTGGAGATGTTGGCAGAGGCACAAGATGGAAGGAGAGGAGGCAGGGGCTGGGGAGGGACGCAGCAAAAGCTAAAGGGCTGCCCCAGGGCCAGAGGGCGGAAAGGGACACTCACCCAGCCTGGATGGCAGCACTTAGGACCCAGCACCGGTGGCAAGGAGCCCCCAGCGGGGGCCTTTCATCCTCCCGGCCAGCCTGGAGCCCTAGAAAGGGGAGAGAGAGATCAGAACCCCACAGGGACAGCCTGGCACCTAGGTCTGGCAGGTGTTGCAGCTCCTGGGACTGGGCCTCCAGTCCCCGCAGTTCTGCCAGCTGTGTGGACGAATCCATGTTTAATGACTGTCCTCCCGGGAAACCCAGGGCCAAGGGCTCCTTGCCGATACCATCTCTGCTCCCGGCTACCCACCACCCCCACCCCACAGCAGCCCCAGGGTCCGGCTCCTCCCTTACCCCCACCCTTGGCCTGTCTCCAACCCCGCCCGCCTGCCTGCCAGGTTGGGGATCTCACGGGTCAGGCCGCGGCGGCCGGGGATCTGGGCCGTTTCCTGGTGCAGGAGCTGGGAGGGAGGGAGAGAGGGAGGAAGGGAGGGAAGGAAAGAGGGAGGAGAAAGGGGGAGGGAGGCAGGAAGGAGGGCCCGGCGCCGGCTGATGATGGGGCCCAGAGATGCGTCCAGAGAGAGAGGGGCGGGGCTGGGACGCAGGCCTGGAAAGGGCCACAGCTAGGGAGGAGGAGAGAGCTGCAGGAAGGCTGGACAGGAAGGACTGCGGGGCCAGGGGCCAACGAAGAGCAAATTCAGCATTTGCAGCAGGTCTCTGCTGTTCCTTGTACTTGTGGAACTTTTGCAGCCAGCATTGTGTGCCTGGAAGGCAAGAGCTCTGCCTGCCAGGTGCCTAACCCTGATGGGACTAGCAGGCACCCCAAGACCCTAGGCCCTTCCACTCCCCTCTTTCTCCAGAGCTTTTAATCCAGGGCTCACTCACCGTGAGCTTAAGTGCAGGCACTTTTTCTTCATCATCTCCTTTTGTAATCAGATTTTCTTTCCCTATTTTTTTTTCTTTGTTTTGTCCAACACACAAGTTCATTCACATTATGAGAAAAATCAAACAATAAAGTATATGTAGCAAGGTACGAGCTCTCAACGTCAAGAATACAGATATGCTCAAGTCTACCTCCTTCCCTGCAGGCTGACAATGTTAAGGTGTATGTTTATCTTTCCAGGGTGTGTGTATGTACGTCTATTTTATTTACTTGAAAGGAAGGAAGACAGAACTCTTCCTTCTCACTCCCCCAAATGGCTACAGCAGCCAGAGCTGGTCCAGCCTGAAGCTGGGAACCAGGAGCTTCTTCCATGTCTGCCATGTTAGTGCAGGGTCTAAAGGATTTGGGTTATCCTTCACTGTTTTCCCAGGCCATCACAGAGAACTGGATGGGAAATGGAGAGAATGGGACTCAGATCGGTGCCACAGCAACAGTTTTACATATGATGTCACAGCGATGTTGCCGTGTGTATGTCTTATATACGTCTGTGCATTTATATAGGACATGAACATTCACAGCTGATTCATGCAGAGGCCCCAAGGCACAGGCATCCTGAGCGGGCCTTTGCTTAAGCTCCTTGGAACTGAAAATTCCTTAAGCTCTGCTTGTGCTACGCAGAGAGCCCTGATCACAAGCAACAAAGAGACCATTGCAGCCCTCTCCTTTTCTGCTGCTTCCCTTTGCTTTTCCTTTCAGTCCAGACCTTGGGATTTCCAGCTGCCTTTATGGTCACTAGAGAAACAAAGGTTTTTGTTTTTATTTTAAGATTTGTTTTACTTGAAAGTCAGAATTACATAGAGATGGAGAGACAGAGAGATCTTCCATCTGCTGGGTCACTCCCCAAACAGCCACAATGGCAAAACTGGGCTGGTCTGAAGCTGGGAGCCAGGAACGTCTTCTGGGTCCCCTATGTGCATGTAAGGGCCCAAGGACTTGGGCCATCGCTTGCTGCCTTCCCAGGCTATAGGCAGGGAGCTGAATCAAAAGTGGAGCTGCTAGGACTCGAACCAGTGTGTATATGGGATGCTGGTGCCAAAGGCAGCAGATTAACTTGCCATATCACCAAGCCAGCCCACAAATATTTTTTTTAATATTTATTTATTTTTATTGCGAAGTCAGATTTACAGAGAGAAGGAGAGACAAGAGAGGAATATCTTCTGTCTGATGATTCACTCCCCAAGTGACCTCAACAGCTGGAGCTGTGTCGATCTAAAGCCAGGGACCAGGAGCTTCTAGGCCTCCCCTCACAGGTTCAACGTCCCATAGCTTTGGGCCATCCTCAACTCCTTTCCCAGGTCACAAGCAGGGAGCTGGATGGGAAGTGGGGCTGCCAGGATTAGAACCAGGGCACGTATGGGATCACGGCGCGTTCAAGGACTTTAGCCACTAGGCTACCACACCAGGTGCTAGTTCTAATCCCAGCTGTGCCCTGCTTCCTATCCTGCTCCCTGCTTGTGGCCTGGAAAAGCAGTCAAGGACGGCCCAAAGTCTTGGGACCCCGCACGCATGTGGGAGACCCGGAAGAAGTTCTGAGCTCCTGGTTTCAGACAGTCACAGCTCCGGCCATTGCCGTCACTTGGGGAGTGAATCATTGGATAGAAGAGCTTCCTCTGTCTCTCCTCCTCTCTGTATATCTGACTTTCCCATAAAAATAAATAATTTTTTTTTAAAAACCTCAATATCACTTTCATGATTAAAGGTTAAACAACATTTCAAGTGTAAAAATGCCAACAGGAATGGATTGTAACATAGTAAGATGGTATCCTCTTTTCCAACTACTTTATAGTTTAGCTATCCTGGTGTTTTAAACTCAGGGATTTTATCTCTAAAATTTTGCACTTTAATACTCTGGAGATGTTAAATATTATTAATTGTTTGAATCTCATATAACCAAGTACCCATGGTTAGATTTTAGAGCTGGACCTTTGGGGTTCTAATCCCAGCTCCCCAATCATTAAGCATGGGGTGTCAGGCAGCAATGGTGACCCCTGTCTCTCCTGTTAGGGTCTCACCTGTGAGCCAGGTATACACAGCACTCCCTACTCCTGGCCGGTTTGCCTTCTCAGGAGCAAATATTTAGGCAGCTTAGAGCAGCACCTGGCACCCAGCAACGGATGCATATGATTAGTAGAGATGTTAAAAGAAGTAAAAAAAAAAAAAAAAAAAAAAAATCACTCTCCTGGTTAATGTATACAAAAACAAAAGAGGAAAAAAGTCAGCTTTGTACCCTGCTGGGGTGCACCCACCAGAACTGGAACCCCCTCATCCCAGCTCCCAGAATGTTTATGTGTTCCCTCAGTCAGCGATGTGTGTACTACTTCCTGCTAAAACTGACCACCTCTCCATGTTCTTACGTTGTGCTGCGATCACAACCAACACATTTTACAGACAACAAGACTGAGGCCGTGTTCCAGGTCACACAGCCTAAACAGCCCCAGGGCCTGGAACTGAAAACTAGGTGCTCCCACAACTCTCCCCTCAAGCCTTTTTTCCAGGTGTAGGGTTTCGGTCACCTAATCTTTGAGCTGACCCATCTCACCTTCTGTTTGAAGGACTCTGCTTACTTCTCACCATTTTTCTCCTTGGTACCCGCCCCTTCCCAAGCTTGGAGCCTGTTTTTTTTTTTTAAATAGTGACCCTAAATAAAGTAATACACAGGGCGATTTGAAGTTTTTCCTTGAAAGATGTGGAAAGGTTAACCCCTGCAGTGCCCGAAGTGTGGACGACATTTTTAAGAAAACGACTTAGGTAGCCTGGCTCGGGGCCCTAAAGGGTGGAGTGCCCGCCCCCTGGTGCAGCTGAAGAAGACAGATGCGGAGCCACCTGTCAGAGGGCTGTGGGCGGGGGGCCAGGGCCGCGGGACAGAGGTGGGGGGTGGTGCGTGGCGGCGAGCGCACGCTCAAAGCAGCCGCTAGCAGGCGGCAGGATGTGATAGTGCAGGACCCTGCGAGCCGCAGGCCGGAGGGAGGGAGAGGTGGTCACGCAAGCGAGGCTGGGCAACGCAAGGTGGAAATTCCTAGAGGTGACTGCAAGGAGAATCCGCAAGGGCGAAGAGCTACGGAGGCGTCCAGGGTGGGGAAGCCACGGGCTGGCCCTGCGGGGCGGGGATGCCATGTCCCGCGAGCGGCCCCCCCGCACCGACATTCCCCGCAACCTGAGCTTCATCGCTGCGCTGACCGAGCGCGCCTACTACCGCAGTCAGAGGCCCAGCCTCGAGGAAGAGCCCGTGGAGGAGCAGGGCGAGAGCGGGACGCGGCTCGGGGCCCGATCCCGCGCTCACACGCCAAGCCGGGGTCGCCGGGCCCGTTCTGCGCCCGCCGGAGGCAGCGGGGTCCGGGTGACCCGCAGCTGTAGCCCCGACACCCGCAAGAGAGTGCGCTTCGCCGACGCACTGGGTCTGGAGTTGGCTGCCGTGCGCCGCTTCCGTCCTGGAGAGCCGCCCCGGGTGCCCCGCCACGTGCAGGTGCAGCTGCAGAGGGACGCCCTCCGTCACTTCGCACCGTGCCAGCCCCGCGCCCGCGGCCTCCAGGTAGGCGGCGAGGACACGCCCCCTCTGCGGGACCGACTCCATCCCCAGGCCTGTGGGTGGGCGCGCTCGCCGGCTGGTCTCTCGGGGCAAGGGGAGGGAGGCGGGAGCCGGTTCGCGAGTGGGTTCCTACGGCCTCGGCCCGGCCTGGACGCCGGAGCCGGCCTCCGATTGGCCCACACTCGCCGTAACCTCGCCCCTTCTCCTCTTTTTCTCTCCTCCCGTCTCGTCCCCCGTCTCCAGGAGGCGCGCGCAGCCCTGGATCCGGCCAGCGAGCCCGGCTTCGCCGCCCGCTTGCAGGCGCAGCGCATCTGCCTGGAACGCGCCGAGGCGGGCCCGCTGGGCGTGGCCGGGAGCGCGCGCGTGCTGGACCTGGCCTACGAGAAGCGCGTGAGCGTGCGCTGGAGCGCCGACGGCTGGCGCAGCCAACGCGAGGCCCCCGCCGCCTACGCCGGTCCCGCCCCGCCGCCGCCGCGCGCCGACCGCTTCGCCTTCCGCCTGCCCGCGCCGCCCATCGGGGGCGCCCTGCTCTTCGCCCTGCGCTACCGGGTTACGGGTCTCGAGTTCTGGGATAACAACGGCGGCCGGGACTATGCTCTGCGGGGGCCTGAGCACCCGGGAAGTGGCGGGACCCCCGAGCCCCAGGGCTGGATCCACTTTATCTGAACGAAACGAGGCGCCTGCGGCCGACGGCGGGGACCACCGAAGGCACCTGCGGGTGGGGGTAGGGGGGCGGAGTCACGTGGGAGGGGCAGAAGGACGGGTTTGGGTGGGGAGTTCTTGGCTGGATGTGAAGGGGGCAGAGATTGAAGGCCTGAAAGGACCAGATGGGATGAGGGCGATGGGGGTGTTGTCTTCCGTGGCTCCAACAGTGACTGGTTAGGGACTCCCGCGCTCCTTGCAACCGAGGAGGGATTTGATGTGAGCGTCGCCCACCCTAGCGGAAGTGATCGGATTACCCGCAGGTTGCCTCTTACCGCTGCTGCCACCTCAGGGTCCTTGAATCCTGCCCACCCCAGCTTTAATTCAGCCATTAATTGCCTTGCTTAATCCCGGGAAACTGGCCGTTCTCTCGGTCCCTGCCACTGTGACAGGATTGCCGGTCACGCTGACAGTGCCTGGCTTCAGTCTCCACAGGCCTGCCAGGAGTTGCCACAGAATTGGCTCAGCCTCCTGGCAACCTTGAGGGTGACAGTAGAGGCAAAAGCCAAACTCTACGCCTGCCTTTGCAGCCAGATAACCAGGCACCTAAGGAGTTGCTTCTCTCAGGGGCTTCCAGAAAAAAAGGGGGTAAAAATGCCAGCATTACCATCTGGGGTGCCTTCTCTTCACCTCTAAGCACTTTACAGATCTGTCGAGGGAGTCACTAATCTGTTATTTCTGCCTCAAAAGAAAAGGAAACCGCCACCTAGCTGTGTAACCTGTGGTATGGAGCAATTCGCTTCACACCTTTGACCTCCACTTCCCTCCTTGAGATTTGGGTTAGGTGATCTGAGGTTCCTCGTTGCTTGACATGATCCATAGGTAGGAAACTGCCTTTCTCCAGCCTCAAGCTTCAGTTTGGCAACCTACAGTGCCTCAGGGTCTGGCTGGAGCTGAGGATGAGTTCTGTTGGTGGCAGGGCCCAGGAGACGTCACCCCCCGCCCCTCCCCCAAACCCTGCAGCCTTGGGATTCTAGAATTGCTGCAACCCTCAGCTCACTCTCCGCCATCTGCTCCTGCTTCTTTACACTTCCAGCCATGGGGGGCCCTGACCTCGGAAAGGTGCATTTTGTTGGGAAAAATGATGCTTAGGAAGCGCAAGGATGAAGGGAGACAGTATTGGGGTCTCCCTTAAGGATAAAAGATTGTGGTTGTAAAAGGAACAGAAAACATCAAGAATCAGAGCAACTTGCAAATGAAGTGGTACTGGAAGATGGCAGCCTGCTCCACAACCCCCAAAGCAAGGGCAGTGAGAAAGCTGGGCATTTTTCTTTCTTTTTTTTTTCCTGACTCGTGCACATTCATGCTTTAGGTGTCTCCGGGTGAACTTGTACGCAGGAGTCCTTCATCTGCTGCTTGCTGCTTTTCCCTCACGCTTCCCCCCTCTAAGCCTCTTTTGTCCACCTTGCTTGTTCCTCTCCCTCTTCATCACTTTTTCTAACGCAAAGGCTGTTTATTCTGTACGCTCAAGTTTCTCTTATTTGCATTCGCCTCCGTCTTCATCCTTGTTGATCTCTGCTGTCCCTTCTCCCTCCAGAAGGGGTGGAGAATCTACTTCCTTTTCTCCGAGACCGTGTGGTTGATCCGCCTTCCTCTCTCAGGCTCCTCCTTGACAGTCTTCTAGAAGGGAGAGGAAGGAAAAGAAGCGGCTCCTGATGCCACAGATGAATGAGGAGTGACCAGGTAACCAGCGTCCCACGCCCTTTGCTGTTACTGATTTCGCAAAGGAAACTTTCTGGAACCTCTCCCTCTTCATCACTAAGGGGACACAGGCCCACTTGTCCCCAAGGTATTCACAGTCAAGTAGGTCAAGTCTGATCCAAAGCCTTAACCCTTCAAAGAGAGATGGTTGAAAGAGTAGAGACCGCCCCCCACCAGGCCATTCCTAAAATAAATGCCTAGTTAAACATGATTCTTGTGAAATGGAAAAACAGACTTTGTGCACCGTGTGGGTCACCTTCATGTCAAAGTTACAGCAAGGTGAAGTCACCACATTACCAAGCAATGCCCTGTTTAGTCACCCAAGGAAAACCCAAGGCAAGGTGATAGAGAGGGGCCAGAGCTGCAGCTCGCTAGTGATGTCCTGGCCCATCAAATGCGCAGCATTGTTCTGTAGTGCTGACAGCAGTAATGGCTCCATTCTAGACTTTGCACACATCCACGGGGCTCATTTTGCGTGCTCTCTCCAAACAACCGCATCTGTGAATTGAGCCGTTATCATCATCCCAATGTTAAAGATGAGGAGCCATTATCATCATCCCAACGTTAAAGATAAGCAGTATGTCCAAGGCTGGATCTGTCAGCCTGGAAAGCTGGAGCTGCTGTGTTCAACCGTGATGTTCTTTATATTTTCCTTTAAAAACCAAATTCTGTGTCATCACTCATTAGGAAAAAACCATTGTTTCTGATTATGCTGTCTTCCCAACCTCTCAGTCTTCTAAACTGGGTTGGGAAAGGCAAAGCACCGAGGTTCCCAGGCGTCATCTCTGCTGGATCAGCAAGGGGCCACCTGGTAGGGAACTTAGGAACCTATTTAAGCACCAGCCATTCCGGATATTGGGATTCTTGCCTGGCCTTAGTCAACCCTTCCCATCTGTTGAGGTGCCCTCTCCCTCCCCTGCCCCCACCATCACAGATCAGGCAGATTCTCTCTGAGATTTGCCCTAGAAGGGTCACCAGCTAAGACAGCTGCTGGATGGGTGTTCCTGGGCCTTCTCTGGAATCCCTGGTGATCCTGAGGCAGGGAATCAGGGTAATCCTGTTGCCTGAGCTCTGGTCTCTGTAAGACCCACACAATCCCCTTATACCTCCATCTCTGCTCTAGTGAAGAACACCTGAGTCTTCAGGCACTGCCCCAGGACATGGAGAGAAGCTGGTGGTTCCCCCTGCCTACCCCGCCCCCATAGTTGGCCCACGCTGCTTTTGTACAAATTATGCACAACTGTCTACTGAGAGTTTTGCAAAAGCAGGACAAAACAAATAATTCTGAGTGGTTTCTGTTTGCCTGACCTCACCTTAATATGATTGCTGTGTGCTCCTCTCCCAGGACAGGAATAGTGAGATGTCCCCAAGCTTTTTCTCCCCTTGGGCAATCTCCCAGCCCCCAGCCTCTGCATGCCCAGCCAGATTAGGCAGTTCCCCTTTCCTGCACTGCTTCCATCCACAGTCTTACAACCCCAGTAGGCAAAGTACCGGTAGACAGATGCAGCCGCTGGGCATCCCAGCTGGTTCAGCATGATGTGACCCAGAAAACACTAGAGGTTTAGAGGTCCTGTTAAGTGTCACATATTAGGCATTGTGGTAGAGACCTTCCTCTAAAAACACAACCACATCAATGGGAGAGACAGAGGTCAGCAGAACAGGTCGGCCAGAAAGTGCCGTAAGAGGAAATGACCATGATCCTCGCTTGGGCTCCCTGAGAACTCACTTGGTCACCCTTTCTTCCCATCAAGACCCCAGAAAAAACTTTCCCACACCTCCCTATTCTAGAGCCTTCCTCTACCTGTTTCTGTGTATGAATGTAGCTCATTGTTTTCCTTCATAATAAACCCCAGTGCCTCAGTTTTCCAATCTGACTACTCATGTTGCCCCTGATCCCCGTGTTTCGAGATCCTCTGGATCCTTAGGATGGGCACAGCATGGGATCAGAAACCCGAAGAGGCTGGTCCTTGGGGGTTAGTAGAGCCAGGCTCTTGTGCAGACACAGGTGCAGGGGTGAGAAGTGACTCCAACAGAGTCAGACAATTTTAGTGCAGCCCAAGGTGGGTTTAAACCCCGGCTTCCTGACCACACCCCGTTCCCAGGCTGACAGATCCCTGTACAATCAGACCCAAGCCCTTTTCCTGACAGGATAACATCATATTTCATTTTCAGCTGCTAGGTTCCATTCCCTTCCTTGTACAAATACAAGAAGCTGGCACTTTTCCACATGATCCCAGCCTTGCTGCTGTTTCTGGTGGTGCTGCTGAAGACCCTTGGGCTGGCCAACAACATTGAGCAGCCCACCCATCAAGTGGCTTGGCAAGAAGTGCTGTGTGAACCCATGAAAAGCTACTTCTCACTGCACTGGTATCCTGCCTCATTTGAACTTCCTCATGCGGCTGCCCTCCCTTCTGGATACACAAGCTTACAGTTGAAATAAAGTTAAGGCCCAGCACAATAGCATAGTGGTTAAAGGCCTCACCTTGAACGCGCTGGGATCCCATATGGGCGCCAGTTCTAATCCCAGCCGACCTGCTTCTCATCCAGCTCCCTGCCTGTGGCCTGGGAAAGCAGTCAAGGACGGCCCAAAGCTTTGGGGCCCTGCACCCGTGTGGGAGACTTGGAAGAGCTCCTGGTTCCTGGCTTCAGATTGGCTCAACTCCAGCCGTTGCAGCCACTTGGGAAATGAACCATTGGACAGAAGATCTTTCTGTCTCTCCTCCTCTCTGTGTATCTGACTTTCCAAATAAAAATAAATCTTTTTAAAAAAAGAAACTATGAACATAAAGTCTATCAAAATGGAGTCAGATGTGTTCTTTGGGGCTGAGGGGCGGGGACAAGAAGCCAGAGATAAAATTCCCTGCCTGAACTCTCATTTTTTAATTTTTTTATGATTTGAGAGATAGCATCTATCCATCAATTCACTCCCCAAATGTCTACCAGCCAAAGTTGGACCAGACTGGATCCAGGATCTGGGTACTCGACTAGGTCTCCCACAGGGATGCTAAGAACCCAGCTACTTGAGTCATCAACTGCTGTCTCCCAGGGTATGCCATTGGCTAGAATCTGAAGCTAGGCCAGGACCTGAACTAGGCACTCCAATATGAGATGTAGGCATTCCAACAGAGTTTAGTTTCATTTTGTTTTTGTTTTTATTTGGAAGGCAGATTTATAGTGAGAATGAGAGACAGAAAGATTCATTGTCCAAATGGACAAAATGGGAAGCTGAACTGATCCAAAGCCAAGAGTCAGGAGTTTCTTCTAGATCTCCCACGAGAGGGCAGGGTTCTAAAGCCTTTGGCCATCCTCTGCTGCTTTCCCAAGCACAAGCAAACAGCTGGGTGGGAA